GGGAGGGGATCGGCGGGACCGGCCCCTCCGCCTTCCCCGGCGGCTGGTGCGGAGCGGGGGGACGCGGGGCGACCCGCACCTCGGGTGCTGCGGGACCCGCCACGGCCCGGGAACCGGGGCGGCCTAGAGCCTCCGGTAGTACAGCTGCCGGGCAGGGCGGGGGGCGGCGGGGCCGGGATCCCCCGGGAGCGGGACACTCGGTTCACGGAGACGTGACAGCCGGAACGCAAAGGCTTCTCTCGTCCGAGGGACCCCGCGGTACCGGCTGGGCTCGGGAACGGGGCAGAGGGAGCAGAACTGCGGGGCTGGGGCCTGACCCGTCCGTCCCGGGTGCGGTGTTGGAAAGCAAGTAATAAAATCATCAAATGTGGTTTTTCCTCCTTCCCCATCGAGGGGCTGGTTGTGGCCCCGCTGCCCCTGCCCCCTCCGCACCACCCGCCGCTCAGCCCCTTAAATCCCCTGCCTTTTCTGTAAGGGACGGGTGTTACTCCCTTGGGATGCTGGGGATGTAGCCACAGAACGGCTACAGTCATGAGACTATACATTAGTCTGCAGTATGAAAATAAAAATTAAAAAAAAAGGAAAAGTATCGCGCACTTTAACTCCCTTAGATTGGCTGAAAATGAAGAGTTTGTTTACCGATATGAATTTAGAAGTTTGCCTGGTTATAACATCTTAAAGTTACCCAAATAGCAGCGTCTCAAGCAATAGCAGTGCCCAGCCCTGGGTTTGCAGCCTCGGGCTGGTGACAGCAGGTGAGGGTTTCATGGCTTTGCACAGTCAATGACAACACCCTGGACTGGAAACAGCTGGATTTCCTCCATCCATTCACCCCTACTCTCTCTGGCTGCTGCCAAGCCTTGTCTTTACTAAAACTACTGAAATCCTTCAAAATAGCGTAACCTTTTTTGCACGTTTGTTAAATTCTCTGCCAAATGTCTCTCTGACTCTGCCAGTTCAGCTGCAGGAGATTTCCACCTTGTCCTTTGCTCTTGAGTGATGTGACCTTATGCAACCTTTAGCTTTCTGAGATAAAAGCAAAAAAAAAAAAAAAAAAAGGCAACAAAGAATGTGTCAATTCTTTAGATTAAAATCGGACAAAAATTCCAAGGAGCCTGACTGGTCCTTTTCGGGTGCTTGCAATAACAAGGTGGAATTCCCTGTGTCTTCTAACAATCCCATTCTCTATTGTTTCCCTTTTGGGAGTGGTTCCTCCCTGCGGTTGTTTGTCTTGCTTTGTGTAATCTTCTGTAGAATGAAGTGCAATCAGTGTTGTCACTTAACTCTGATGTTGTCTCTTTTCCCTTCCTTTCTGCCTGCCTGCTGCTTTCATTCTCTAGTATTGGTATTTGCCATTCATTTCACCTTCTGCATCTATGCATCTCATGGTAGGTGATAGGCTTTTAATCCGAGATTAGACTCTCTGTCATGTTTCTGAATGCTAAAACTGAAAACAGAAATAAATTATGACGGTTTATTCCTGAAAACAATTCCTTCAGGTTCTGTGAAAAGCTAAAGCCTGATGTAGCTTTTTGTTTTGCAGCCTTTAATGACCGTGTAATCACTGAGCGCTTAATGGCTCTTAAGAAAATGCCCTGAGGGTGTCTGAGGAGGGGTGACAGCGGTGGCTGGGCCCCCCGGGGCGTTTTTCTGCAAATGTGGCAACTCTGCAGAGAAAGCCCAAGTGACTGGTCCTTGCCAGGCACAGGGAGTGATGTGCACAGCGCAGATCTGCTGACCTGACCCGAAATCGTCCTTGCTGTCCCTCTTCTGGGTCTGAGGAGCTGATGTTAATATATGAAGCAAATGATGTGCCTAGATAACCTTCTGGGGACCAGATGAGTCTTGTTTTTTCACTTGGTAGCAGAATGTAATAAATCTGTAAATGGAGGAGCGTTTTTTGTCCTGTGGAAAGGAGCAGAAATGGGGCCTGAGGAGCGTTGCCCATTTGCAGTGTGTTCACAGAACACGGATAACAGCAGTTTGGGGCAGTTTTGTCTCTAGGTCAGTGGCTGAAATAAATTCAGGTCCCCGGCAACTGCACGTGTGGCCATCCAGGAGGTGGGCAGTAGCACACAAAATGCCCTGGAGGTGTCATTCCAGTTATCTGGGGATGTGCTCGTTAAAGCAGAGAGATGCTAATTAGCAGCAGGTTCTGGACATGTTCTGGGAAGCGCTGTGTGTGCAGAGAGAGGGAGAGAAAGAAAGTGCTCAGTCCTTCCTAGTCAAAGAGGATTTCTCTTTCCAAGGAGACTGACGCAAACGGGGATCCCTCCTTATTAAGTAGCAAATTCCTTTGAGACAGCAGGTTCCTGTCCCCCCTCTCCAGGCCGAGGGCAGCAGCGCCGGACACAGATGCAGCAGAGCTCCCTCACTTCTCTCCTTGGTTTGTGCTAAATCCTTTTTGCCTCTTGTCTAGAACTCGGAGCTCTTCACGCTGACGTACGGCGCTCTGGTCACCCAGCTGTGCAAGGACTACGAGAACGACGAGGATGTCAACAAGCAGCTTGATAAAATGTGAGTGGATCTGCTGCCGTGGAGCCTGGTGGGAGCTGGGGGTGGCAGTGTGGCCCCTCTGGCTGCTGCAGGAAGAACAAAAGCCTGGCAGACTAGATTTTATTTAACACTGATATTTCTCAGATCTAAATGTTATTTTTTTTTCTCCATACTCTTTTATAAACATCAGCTTGCTTTCTAAAGTTACGCTCGTCCCACGCTGTAGCTGTTGCTCCTTGGTATGTTCACAGGGGTTACAACATCGGGGTTCGGTTGATAGAGGACTTTCTGGCCCGGTCCAATGTCGGAAGGTGCCACGATTTCCGTGAAACTGCAGATGTTATTGCAAAGGTAATTGTCAAAGCACGGCTTTGGCCGGTTTTGCATGTGAGGATTAGAGCCTTTGCTACTCCCAGGACTGTTCTGAGAGTTTGACTGAGGTTTTGGGGAGGAAAAAGAGAGAATTAGATCCCTGACTGGTGCTGACTGGTGGGAAATGGGAGAAATGAGTGCTTTCAAAACCCTCTAGTGATTTGATGGAGATCAAAGCTGTGCTGTTGCTTCATGGGAGGTTCATACTCTGTTTGCCATAACAGATAGCATTTAAAATGTACCTGGGCATCACTCCGAGCATCACCAACTGGAGTCCTGGAGGCGACGAGTTCTCCCTGATCTTGGAGAATAACCCCTTGGTGGACTTCGTTGAGCTCCCCGACAACCACTCATCTCTCATCTACTCCAACCTGCTGTGTGGAGTGCTGCGAGGTGCCCTGGAAATGGTGAGTCAACATCTTCTCTTCCAGAGAGACGGAGATGTGAATGACCGAGGTATCAGCAGATACTTTAATGTCCAGTCTGTGTTTGCTTTGGACTCAAAATCCATTCCTAGAAGAGCAGGGTTACAGGAGCACTCGGCTGCTGTGAGTCCCAGAGGTGCTGACCAAGCCCCTTACTCTTCAGACCCAAGTGCAGGCATTAGTGTCTCCTTGGATTTTTAAGAAGCTTCAACACCCTCACTTTGTAACTGCTGTGAGCCCCAGTTGGGAATTTGCTGGAACAAGAGCACAGCTGTGTCTCAAATGTAGGAGTCTCTATTTAGGCTTGATTATTTTGTAGGAGGTACTTTGCTGAGGTAAGGTGCCTGCTTTCCACCATGAAGGCCACGGTGGACAAGGAGGGTGGGGTCTTGAAAAAAGGTGTGTGCTTCTGTGGAGTTCTGCGTTGTGTTGTGTCCTCAGGGTCCTTAAGCTGGTGCCTCACAGCTCCTGGAGAAGCTGCTGTCGAAGGGAGGTAACGGCTCTTCTTTCCTCTTCCCAGGTTCAGATGGCTGTCGATGTGAAGTTTGTCCAGGACACGCTGAAGGGTGATAGTGTCACAGAAATAAGGATGAAGTTCATCAGGCGGATTGAAGACAATCTTCCAGCTGGTGAAGAGTGACTCACAGCCCAGTCTGCCCTTGGGACTGGTGGGGACCAGCGGGGTGCGGCCGCTCCTCACAGATCTGTAGGGATCTAGTGCCCCTGTACATTCAGAGTGACTGTTTAAGATGTAATTATATTCTTCTACTGGTACTTCCACCTTCTGTAGAAGACAGGTGTCTGGTTGCTGTTTATTTCACAGGTTCATTCTGAAGCTTTTTCATAGGTGATGCCTCTTTCATATTTCCCCAGGGACTCTTTCTACGCTCCGTTTCTAATTGTCACGTTTTGTTGGGTGAGAACTCCTGCTCAGACTGCAGACAAGCTCCCGTCTGTTCAAATCTGAATCCATCTTTTATTACCAGAATTGGAGACACAAGCTGTGAGAGCCCACTGATTCACTGCTACATGCTGTCAAAAAAAAAAAAAAAGAGAGGAGTTTAAAATTAATTCTGAGATAAGCACGTAGTATTTCTGTAGAACAAACTGCGTTTGATTCTGAAGTTACTAGTAAAATGCAAGCTTGATAAAAAAGGGTGACTTGGGAGATGTGTTTGGACACTGGCATCCAGGGGTTTCCTGTTGTGGGAGAGCAGTGGCATCACCAGCACTGGGACATTCGGGAGGTTGGTGTGAAATGCAGGAAAAATGCAGTTTGTGTCACCCCCCTGGGGTCTGCAGCGAGTACAGCCCAGGGGTCGTGGGGCAGGTCCAGGGAACAAAACCCCAAAGCTCAGACTAAGGACTGGGTGGTATTAAATGTGTTTCAGCAGGTAGAGCCTGCTCCCCCCATACGGTCTGTAAACACTGTGTGGAGGTGGTGCTGGGGTATGTCCTGTGTGCTCTCACAGATGTTTAGGCTACAGCAGAGCTCCCCGTGTTGCTCAGGTTGGCGGGCTCAGGCAGGCTGTGCCGCCTGCTGCTCCTTAAATAAATACACAACGTAGTATTAGATCTCAAAGAGCAAGATAGTGGCAAATCAGCTTCCTCTGCCAACCCGTCCAGCCGGGAAACACAGTTCTGAGGTCACTTTACAAAGCATGAAGGCACAGACCCACCGAGGTGATCTGGAGCTTCAGGTTGATGCTCCCCCTCACTCCCCCGGGAGCTCGGACACCTCCGTAGGCGTGTGCCTGAGTGTAAGGTGAGAGAGAGAGCTCAGAGAGAGCTCCAGCTTGTGCTGCTGCTCGTTTAGGTTCTCCAGATGAACGCTGGGTCCTCTGGACACTGGCTGGATCACCCCATCCCTTTTTTCCTCCCCCGAGTCCCTTTGGTGGGAGGGTTGGGGTGTCCAGCGAAGGGGCAGCTGTCAGAGCAGTTGGAGAACAACCCAGAGGAGCAGCAGCAACTGATGGGTTTTGGAGGCAGAGGTGCCACCCGGCCGTGTTGCAGAGATAAAACCATCTCTTGTTTGCCATCGTTGACCATTATAACTCATTTTAAGGCTGCATTTTAAAAGCGATCGCATTAAAAGAATCCCGGTGTCGACTCTTTGGTTTCCTCTTGCTTTTCCCTGGTGCTGTGGGTGCTGGTGTGGGGGGTGCCCGGGCTGGCAGGGCGATGGCAGCGCTGCACCAGGAATGTCTGACGGCCAAAAACTGCCCAATATTCAGCGCACGGAGGGATCGTGGCCGGGGGTGGGACTCGGAGGGCTGAGGGGCAGCGCTGGGGAAGCCCAGTCAATGCCTGCTTGTTTGAGGATGGCCTTGCCCTGCCCCGGGAATACCCGTGGGGGTTCGTTAGCGGGGGCTCGCTGCTGCCAGCCCAAGGCAGGCTGTGGTGGAGAGAGCCAAGATGTCCTTTTGTGGTCATTAATAGCAGCAAAAAGTCACCTCGGGAGGCATCTGTGCCCTGTGTGTCCCCCCACCCGTCCCCACTCAGCGTGGGGGCTGCATCCCCCTGCGCTGGGGGGCACCCCACATCCTCACACGAAACACCCAGGGCTGCTCCCACCCCCAGGGATGGGGAAACAGCAGCTTTTGCAATAAAGTGGCTTTTCTTTTTGGCCGGGGCTGGCGAGCATCACGTGTCACCAGCCCGGCCGGTGACAAAAGCCAGGCTTTGCCAGCCAGAGTGGCCCCAAAGAGCCCTGAGACAGCCCTGGGCAGTGGCTGCCCCCGGGGACTGTCCCAGGGGAAGGGGGCCCGTCTCCTCCTCGCTGACGTTGCAGCTAAAAGGGGGGGATTGTGCACTGGTGAGCTCACCCCGGGGCCTCCCCCTCCTTCAGCCCCCGCAGGGAGCGGGTCCCGGGGTCCCCCTGTCACCCCACCCCCGCCCCCGGGAACTAGGGAGCTGCGCCGTAATTTGCTGGGGCGACTGGGTCAAAACCAGCCCAGACCCTCTGGAAGAACAAAAAGCAAAAATTGCATTAAGTAAATTAAAACTGTCTACTACCGAGTAGCTCATTGTAGACGAGGGAGAATATGCAAAAAGCTCTGTTTGAAACCTACTAAATATTACCATGTGCTGTTTATAGGAAACAAATGGGGAAAGGCATGCTGCATCAATAAAACCCTCAACATGGTTGGAGTTGGACTCCAGCCTTTCCACGGCTCTAGGTTATTGAATACCCTCCACTTTCATGTAGTGCCAGGCCTGACCCCTGGACACATACCGCGAAGGGGAAAGTTGACTTGTGGGAATAATAGACATTCCTGGGGAACGATTTAACCTGGCAGGGAAAGAGGCGACTTTCAGCCTTTTCATATCTCCTCCTGCCATTAGAGATGACAATAGGGACAAGTCGAGGGGGGGGGGGACACGGGGTGGGGGCGCTGCCGGAGAGCAATGCTGCCAGACCCCGGCAGATGGTGGCACACAGGGTGAAACCCCCCCCTCCCCACCGTGCCCGGCCCCTGCCCGCCCACACTGGCCACTTGGCCACCCCATGATGGCAGCAGATGGACCCTGCATCACCCAGACCGTGGCTCCCAGCCACGGTGCCACATCCCGACCCCATCCCGGGCTCCCAGAGCAATGGGTCCAGGGAGCTTCATTGGCAGCGGTGCCCGCAGAGGGTGGAAGGAGCTTTTCCAGCCTTTGCCTCCCTCAAGCTGCATTTTCTCCCATGGGAGAGCAGGACTTTGGGCGATGCTGAGCAGGAACGTGTCCCGAGTGCTCACCGATGGGAGCTGAACTCCCACCCCAGGTGTGACTTACCAGGATCTCACTTGAACCAATTTATCACCCCAGGTGCTCCTGCTCTGCTTTTCCTGCCACCCTGCTCTGACTGCACAGCCCCAGGGTGTTTCGGCTGCAGCGGAGCTGGTGACAAGCCCGGCCACGCTCCGCACCGACAGCACCCGTGTCCCCCCATCACACCATCCCGGGGCTGGGCTGTCCCTTCTCCCCTCACTGGGGGTACACAGAGCTCCCAGCCCCTCTCCCACCACCTAAAAACCAGGGGCGTGGGGGGGGCAGCCCCGGGCACCCTCCCTCTGCAGACCCCATGGCCCGGCACCCGCTGATGGGGCAGGGATGGTGCCGGGAGAGGAGCCCAGCTGGGGATGGGGGAATCTCTCCAGGAGGGAAGAGTTTCCGGACTGGTGTCCTCATTGCCGGGGCAGCTCCCACAGCTTTCAGCCAGATGTGCTTGGCCGGGGCGCCCGCCGCTCGCTGGAGCCGTGAGAAGGAGATTTCACTCGTGAGGGAGCGGGGATGGCAGCTCCTCAGCAGGGCTGGCACAGTGCCAGCGACACCAAGCAGCCAGGGTATGGGCAGTGCCAGGCTGGCACCGTCTCCTCACCAGCCCAAACAGCCTCCTCCAGCCCCACATGCCCAGGATGCTCAGCCCCATGTCCCCAAGTGCCCACGCATTGAAAAACTGCCAGCCACCGGCAGCATGAGGGATGAGCAAGAGGATGCTCGGGGTGTGGGTTCCAGCCAGGGCACAGCTCTGTCCCTGCCCCAGCTCTCCCAGCTCTGGCCAAGCATCTCCCCGCGCCTGGCACCACCTGGGAACCACAGAAATGTGTTCCCTGCCTGATAACAGCCTGGCAAGTTTGGGTATGGGGATGCTTTTATAAACCTTCCCAGCCCCTGGGCTGGCTGTGAAGCACATTGAGCTGACGCAGGGAGCCCAGGCAGTTTGCAAAATCCTTTCCCAAAGCACAGCCATGCTGCAAAAACACCGCCCTGGCCCAAACATGGTTTCCAAAGCTGGGAATGCCCACCAGCAACAGCGACGGGTCAGGGCAGCCCTTTGGCGATGCTCCTTGGCACCCGCCCTCCTGCAGCATCCCGTGCCAGAGACGAGGAAGAGGAGGAGGAGGTTTCTGCAGGGTGGGACGAGCGCTGTCCCAGCAGCGCTGCTGGGAGCTCTGCCACAGTTTGGTGGCGTTTGGTATTTCGGGTGAAAGGAAGGAGGCTCCATTGTTCCTCTTTTATTGTTCTGTGTTTCCTAAGCGGGACAGGCACCCTCCTCCCACGCTCTGCCCGGCTGCGGAGCTGCTCCAGCCCTTTGAAACTCTCACTGCAGCGAAGGCGTCTGCTAAAGCCCTGGGTGAACAGAAACACAGGGAGAAACATCCCTGCTCCCAAGCACAGACTGGCACTGGCAGCACGTGCAGGGACGAGGGGTGTCCAGTCTCAGCATCCCCCTTCCCCTGCACCTGGTCAGGTCCCTGCTCCTGCATCCTGCATGGTGCTTTGCTTCCATACGTGGCACTTTAGGTGGCTCATGTCACAGAATCACAGAATCTTCTAGGTTGGAAGGGACCTTAAAGATCATCTTGTCCAACCGTCAACCTCACTGACAAAAATAGACACCCACACAACAAACAAGGAGCATCATCACTAAACCAGACCTCCCAGCACTACATCAACCCGGCTTTTGAACACCTTCAGGGATGGGGCCTCCACCACCTCCCTGGGCAGCCCATTCCAATGGCTGAGAACCCTTTCCGTGAAAAATTTTTTCCTAATATCCAGCCTGAACCTCCCCTGGTGTAACTTGAGGCCATTTCCTCTTGTCCTGTCGCCTGTGACTTGAGAAAAGAGACCGACCCCCATCTCTCTACACCCTCCTTTCAGGGAGTTGTAGAGAGCAATAAGGTCTCCCCTCAGCCTCCTCTTCTCCAGGCTGAATAACCCCAGTTCCCTCAGCCTCTCCTCATAAGACTTATTCTCCAGACCCCTCACCAGCTTTGTCACCCTTCTCTGGACCCGCTCCAGCACCTCAATGTCTTTTTTATGGTAGGGGGCCCAAAACCGGACACAGTACTCACCAGTGCCGAGTACAGGGGGACAATCACCTCTCGGGCCCTACTCGCCACGCTGTTCCTGAGCTGTGTCAAGCTGTGAGGGGAAGGGACAGCCCTGGGTGACAGCACAACAGTCGCAGAAGAGGCTGACACCAGCCGAGCCATCCTCCCTGCCCCGGTGCTGTGACCCAGTGAGGACACCGGTGCTGCCCCGGCCGCGGGACGGTCCAGCCGCCCCCTCCATGGCTCCCGCCAGGCAGCCGGCCAGAGACCAGCCTTTCTGCCTTTCTCCCTGCGGTTTCACTGCTCTCAGTTTCTCGTTCCGCTCCACACAACTAAACCCCAATAATTAAAACCACAGCCGCTATTGTCCTGCCGGCAGCAGCAGCACCGTCCCCCCGCTGCCCGGCGGCGCAGGATGTGGCACCGGGACACGGCACGGGGGTGCCCACAGGACGGGGTACAGCCGTCCCCCACAAACACTGGGGCCACGAGCTCACTGCCACCCCAAACACAAAGACCCCGGGCAGAACCAGCCCAGCCTTTTCCTACAGAAGGTGCAAAAAGTTTCCAAGGGCTGATTTTCCAAAGGCAGCCAGAGCTCCCAGCTGGGGCGGGTTGGCCCTGGGGGCAGCCTGGGAAGCTGCTGGTGTTGAGCAGCCTTGGCCCGCGACAAGCCCCTCCGCTGCAGGCCAGGAACAAACAGGCATTCTGATGAGAAATGTTTGTTTTCTTTTAAAATAGTTTTAATTGTGGCTTCCAGGGAAGGGAGCTGCTGGAACGGTCTGCCTTCCCCTGAGCTGCAGCAAGGCAGGCTTCCAAAGGGCATCTAACCCCTCCCAGGGCACGAGCTGCCCTCAGCCCATCCCCGCTGTGCTTGGCCTGACCCGTGGGGCTTTACCAACCCCACGATGGAGCTCCAGCCCCTGCTCAGCCACCCCCAAAAGCTGCCACTTTCTAGATTAAATCTTTCCTGCAGCCACCCAAACCTACAGCATCCTGCCCCGTAGCAGTGCCAGGCAGAGCAGCTCATTTGTTGGTTCCTCCTCTCCCCGTTGCCAGCTCCCAGCCCAGCTCTGCCACCACCAGCACAGATAGCACCAACCTGGGGCCACGCAGGAGCCCCCCAGGACACAGCCCACACCCCCATCCCATCCCCACCACGGCGAGCAGCTCGCCACAAGCAGGATGAACTAGGTGCTGGCTGGCAGGGAAGGGGCTGCAGTCAAGCCTTCCAAGCAATTAATAGAGCAAGAAGCAAAACAACCTGAAAATTTAAAGCCAATC